AATGTCTGAACCATCATCAATGACAAATGTTTGTCCGTCCAGCATTGGTTTCTTGAGGAGTTTATTTATCTCAAATCGAACCACCATGTCTCCCAGCTGGAGATCTATAACACCTCCTTTCACATCTATGATTGCCCCAGCTGTGCATAAGAAGGATCGACCCAATATCAAAGGATCTTTGGGTTCTTCATCAACCTCTAGAACCACAAAATCTGCTAGAATGAGTGTATCGCCTATCTGAACATGCAAATCCTCTAGTATACCAACTGGAAATTTAGTTGATCTATCAGTGAACACCAGCAAGATTTTTGTCGGCTTAAATCTGGTGTAACCCAATCGCTTGGCTACAAAATAAGGCATCAGATTCACAATCGCTTTGCAAACAGCACATTACCAATCCTGACTAAGAGAACAAATCTTCCTGGATCACTTCTCTTCTTCAGCACCTTGTTCTGCAACACAGCACTGCACTCCTTCGAGACCATCATGACACTCTCTTCCTCAACAGCTTTCCCAGAAACTAAACCCTTCATATATCGCTTAAGGGCTGGTATCATCTGAACAGCATCAGCTAGAGGGAGTTTTACAGTCAAATCCTTCAGCATCTCCCTGCACTTTGCCTCCTCTAAGTCCTTGCGGGACTTCTTTGGTGAAACTGGGTAAGGTAGCTTAGGCGTATAAACTCTTGCAGGAAAATTTTCTAGAGCAGATGGCTGGATCAGGTGCTCTGTCGTCGGCTCAGGGTGCTCCATCGTCTCTTCTACGTCTGGAGCAGGTGCTCTAGAATTCGGAGCAGGTGCTCCAGTCAAGGAAGTATGCTCTTTCGTCGTTTTTACGCCATGAGTTGGTGCCTCTTCTTGGAGCAGGTGCTCCACGTCCTTTTCCTTCCTCTTTTCTGAGACAGCGCTTGTTGGTGGAGCATGCAGAGTTCTCACACTTCTCAGCTCAATAGCATTCACAAACTCATTCCTAGGGTTTTCACCTTTTCCAGGGAGAGTTCCAGGTGATCTCTTCACAGCTTCTGTAGTCTGAGCTACCTGAACATCCAGATTCTTCACATGAGTCCACACTGCTTCATACTTGCCATTCAAATCATTGTACATGGTGTCCACTTTGGCATTAATCTCCATGGTAGACTTTTGCTGATTCACCAGCAGCTGTTGCATCAAGTTTTCAGCTTATCCTGCGAGTTGTTTGGGGAACTCGAAGAAAGCTGCAGACTTGTGAAGGGCAACTTCTGCTTATTTCCACCTTGAAACCGATTCTGATTGGTTATGAACTGCTTTCCTTGGAAGTTGCTGGAGAAGTTCTTCTGAAATCCTGAGTGATTCTGCACTCCTTGCTGCGGATAGACCTGATCCTGAGGGTTCTCAACATTGTTGCTTATGTAGGACAAATTCGGGTGGTTCCTGAAGTTGTTGAAGCTGCGATTCTGCACATACCCTTGTCTATTCACAAAGTTCACATCCATATGATCATCATCCTTTGCTTCCACAAACTCTTGAGCAAGAGGAGAATCGCCAATCTCATCAGCAAAATGCATAGATTTCTGGTTCTCTTTCAACAGCAGATTCACCTTTGCTGTAAGATCATCGATCTTGCTCAACTCCACACTATGAACTGCTCTGCTAGACCTGTCATACTCTTGGGATTTGTTGCTGGAGCTTGCAGCTAGGTTCTCAATCAACTCATAATCACCTGCTTTGGACTTAGTCATGAAATCGCCATTGCTAGTTGCATTCAAAGTATTCATGTAATCCCAGTTGACACCATCATAAAAGGTTGAAAGAATCTGCTCATCAGAGAACCCATGGTGAAGGCACTCTCTTCGGTACTCCTTGTACCTTTCTCAAGCTTCGCAGAAAGCTTCACCAGGTTTCTGTCTGAACAAAAAGATCTTATTCCTCAGAGCTGCAGTTTTGGACTTAGTGTAGAAGTGATCCAAAAACGCTGATCTGCACTCTGCCCAAGTAGTCAACGACCCAGCTGGCAATGACTTCAACCAGCGCAAAGCTTTGTCCGCAAGTGAGAATGGAAAAAGCTTGCACTTCAAGAAATCGGCTGATATCCCATTTGATCCAGTCGTGCTGCAAATCTCCTCAAAATTCTCGATGTGGTCCATCAGAATTTCAGCAGGAAGCCCATGAAATAGATGCTGCTTCACCAATGAAATCAATTGAGGTTTGATCTCAAAGTCTTGCTTCTGAATGGTTGGAGGAGCAATCGCAGCTCTGTTTTGGTAATAAGCATGTGGATTGTCCTTGTCTCCAATAGCAGGCTGTGGCTGCTCCCTGTCTTGCTGCGCCTTTTGCAGCTGCTCCAATTGCTGTCGAAGCTGTTGCAGCTCGACAGCCATGTTGTCATTGTTGCCTTGATCGCTCATGTTGGCTTGAATAGGCCTTTGACGTCTGTTTTCTCGCTCGACTCTTGCTAGCTCGGTGTTTGACAAAGAAAAGATCGGTGCAGTTGCTTCTTGTGGATATGTTTGACATACACCTGAAACAAACGCAAACAAGAGAACAAGAGAAAAAGTTAGTAAGGTCTTAGTCTGAATTTCAAACCAAAAATCAAAGGTAACAAATTGGTCCCCGTTGCAACGGCGCCAAAAATTGATTCCAACTAGATGTACTCCTAGTTTCTACTGCAATAGAACAGTGATGTAGTTGTAATATAAAAGATTCGGAATCCAGAGGACCAGTGATACTCTATGACTTTGCAAGGAATGAATTAAAGCTAAGACAAAGATGATTTGATGCGAAAATTAAAGAAGTAAACAAAACGGCAAACAACGATTTAAATTCGAATTGAGACAAATAGTAGATCAAGGTAATTCCCAGGAATTTCAGAGATAACTATCAGATGACTATTCAGGACGCGGTTAAACACAAGTCTCGAACTCAAACAAAAATGCATATCGACCCACTGTCGTGGCATCGATAACTAAATTCTAAACTGTCGTTTGAACCAAGAAAATTGCAGACAAGCATTAACAATCTGGTTTGATCTGTTCACGATTTGCCTTAGCATCAACTCTCGCAGGCGCTCACCAATGTTTCTTCTAGCAACCTATTATACTTTTGATGAATAGATTAACCTAAGATCATAGATTGAGTGATTAGTTCAACCTAAGCATTAAGTCTAACAGAGGTGAAGACAACAGATATGAAGCCTTATTTGCATCTAATCATTTAACTCATGAAACCCTTTGAAATAAACCTTAATCTAGCTAAAAGAACTACTCAGACATGGAGAAAAGAAACACAGCAACAGATGAAAAGGAATTCATGAAATAAATCAGAAAAGATATAAGGGTTCGGAATTCTTCTCAGAATGTAGCAAGAATTCTTTTCCCTAAGCTTACAAGCAGAAATCTCTCCAAAACTAAAGCGTAAAAAGTCTGTAGAAAACGTGATAGTAAAACACAGGCGGCTCTGGGCTTTTTATTCCATCTCATGCGACTTAGGATTATGTAAGATCGTTTCCTTATTTTTCTCCAGAGGTTGGAGCAGGTGCTCGACGAAAGGTCCAAACCGGGAGCAGGTGCTCCGCGGATGATTTCTCCAAAAGCGTATGAAATAGCTCCTTTTTGCTCAGATTCATCTCTTTTTGCTCCAATGCCTTCTAAACACTCTAATCCTCTGATAAGGCATCTAAGTCATCTGAAACTTCCTGAAAAGACTCCAAAAACTCCAAAAACGATTAGTAAAAATGGGTTAGAATGAGCCAAAATCTCCACTCATCATAAATATGTCGATAAGAAATAGAAAGAGAGAGAATATCTTTATAAATGAAATATTGAGTATTAAATGTATAATTGATATAAATTAATTTCTACCCAAATTAATATTAATGACACATGATGTAATTAGTCTAGTAAAGTAAGCATTTTTTTATAAGTATTTTGAGAAGCTCTCTCATGGCGACACATCAGCATAAGACCATCTCCAATGCGGGTCTGTTAAGAGTTTCTCATGTTAATTTGACATTAAAAATAGCCTAATTGATGAGAACCGATTCTCATGAGAGGAATTGAGAGACCCATGAGAGAACATGACGTGGCAAAGTCTGATTGGATGAAATTTTTTTTTGTTTTTTATTTTTTCCATTTATCTATCTCTCTTCTTCTGGTATTATTGCTGGAAAGAAAGAAAAAAAATTTCAGAACATATCGGGCGAAGCTTCAAGATTATCTATCGGTGCATCCTTCTCTCTTTCATGCATGTGAAATCGAGAGTCATGGCAGCGAAGCTTGAGAGATTTATCATATGAAACAAATTTGGATTTATCATATGGAACAAATTTAGATGAATTTAAAATTTCAACTTTTCTTTTTTCGATTTTTCTGTTTTGTACTTCTGTGTTTATTATATTATTTTTGTATGTGTTTGTAATTTAAATTAATGAATTAAATTTACTTTATAATATTTTTATAATTTAAAAAATTAATTTTTTTTTCTTAAGAAACTCTGTTTAAAGAACCTACCATTGGAGGTTTAAAAACTAAAAATTTCTCACAAATATACATATATGTGTAAGTAACACAAAATATATTAAAAAACAAGATGAGAACCTTTATGGGTCTCTCACCATTAGAGATGGTCTAACACTTTTGTAAGTCACACATCAAGTGAAAATTATTTTAAAATGTCCTTCTCAATTAATAAGATAAGATGTCTCTAAACAATTAATATAGCTTAAATGAAAAGAGATATAAAAATAGAGAGACAAAACGATATTATTATAGTCTTTTTTTATTTTTTTTGAAAACTTAGCAAACTAAACAAAGAAGCAGGGACATGTGTCATGTTAACCACCCATATGAATCCCATGTTTTTGGAGGTTAATCGTACCACCATCCATAAAGCATGCATACCACCATCCATAAAGCCTGCATACTCTCTTTTATATATTTACGTTCAATAAATTATCTTACCATGATTTAATTCTTAGGAGAGCTATATTTATATGCAAGATCGGGTTTCAAGTTCTATTTCATGGCTTTAGAGCTTGACACGACCGGTGAGACCCTTGTTGACATTGGTCGGGTTCTTGGAAGTCTTGATCGATGAAGTGTAGAGCTTGACACGACAGTAAGATAGGTCCTTAATGTGGGTCAACGCCACGTAGAAGCAGAGCCGTGTCTACAGTGAAATGAAAAAGGCAATCGCCTAAGACCACATCTTATTTATTAAGTTTAGAGGCCATATTTAACAAGTGAATTATAGTTTTCTTAGTTGGCTAATTTGTCTTGTGCATATTTTTATTTTGTTCAAATTCGATCCTCAGCCGCATAAAAGTATAACTATTTTTTCACCAAATTTTTTAAAAATATTACTACACATTTGATTACTGATTTTTTATATAATTTCATTAAAAAGGCCACATTTTAATTTTAGCCTAAAGCCTCCAAAATCCTAGGCACGGCACTGCGTAGAAGTATCCCTTAGAGTCAGTCGGATTGCTGTAGACCACAACCGCGTTCTTGTTCTTCCCATATGATCCTGGTTCCGAGCACACAATCTTCGCCTTTGCTCCTATATGAAATTAATCAATCGAACTTTCTAATTAGTAAATTTGTTTTTATAATGGATATCTAACCAGGAATCGTTAATAGTATGTTTACCTAGAATTGGGTACGTTTTGTAGCCGTTTTTGCATAAGATGATGCCATCAACGGCTTTAATGATATTTGGGACGTATGGCATGTAGGTTGGTTTTGATACGTATGGAGGAGGACGAGAATAGTTTGGAAACTTTTTGTAGACCGGAGGAAGGGGGCAGGGCTTGTAAACCGGAGGTGAGAGAGTAGGCTTAGTGTAAACCGGAGCTGAGAGTGTAGGTTTGTAAACCGATGGTGTGTAAACTGGAGGCGGGACAGTATGCTTGTAGGCGGGTGGTGAGTAAACCCGATGTGGGAGAGTTGGCTTGGCCGGTGGCGTGTAAACCGGAGGTGGGAGGGTGGGCTTGTAAACTGGTGGAATGTAAACCGGAGGTGGGAGAGTTGGCTTGTGGAGTGGTGGAGTGTAAAACGGAGGTGGAAGCGAGGGTTTATGAACCGGTGGAGTATACACCGGAGGTGGAATGGTGGGTTTGTGGGGAGGTGGTGTGTAAACTGGAGGTGGAAACGTGGGTTTATGAACCGGTGGAGTATAAACCGGTGGAGATGAGGGAGCGTAATAATTGGCAGTGGCAATGGTAGCCAAAGAAGGGAGGAGGCAAAGGCCAAAGGAGGCGCGTGTGATCGCCATTGCAGTCCCTGGTCTCGCCGGTCTTACCTGTAGGTAGCGCGTGGCTCGTCTTTTGTTTTTTTCTTTTTTTTTTAACATTGACCTATTATTCTATTACAAATTATTAGAACTATTACATCGACAATTCTACAACGGACAAGTCTCCCGCCTGCAAATACTCCAAACGGATTTTTATGCACTACGTTGAAAACCTCTTGTAAGCTTGTCTCCATTAATCTGCAAATTAATAATAAATCGTATTTTCCGGGACTCAAAACCCAAATCTCTTAATGCAGAAGCATTAATGAACCCATTAACCAGTAGGTTAAGGGGGCTTCCACCAAACTCACATCTTTTGCTTTTAGCTAGTTTCTTTTTTTTTATCTATTCTGTGTTTGAAGTGGGATGAGGAAATTGATTTCATGGGTTTTATAAGAAAATGTTAGGCTATTAAATGCTAATAAAATAAAATAAAAATATTATTTTCAAAGGAGACGAATTAGATTGTCATGTTTGGGATTCTCATAATGTGATGCACGATTAGAAACATCTTCGCCATTTACGTACAACCATGCATATGCATGCACACGGCGCCGACCAAATGATCGGAAAACCGGGCTATGAAAATTTGATCGGCCCATTAAATAGTATGTGTAGAGAAACTATATAGAACATTTCTGAAACCGGTGCTATGTGCTTCGTCAAACCGATTTTAAATTCCTTTTGCCCCAAACGAATATGAGATGGAACTGATATCAAATGTCTCCAGAGCTCTCTATCTCGATAGGCGATTAGGCGATTAGGGTTTTCCTCTCTTCCGCCGCCATTGGCGTCGCCTCACGCACGCCGGTGAGAACTATCTTCCCTCCCTTCTTCGGTCCTCTCTCTCTATGGCTTCTCTTTCTGCTTCCCCTCCTCCTCGTCCGCCGGATCCCCCTGACGATCTTCTCTTTCTGGCTCCTTTCTCGGCTCCTTCTGTTTTTCCCTCGGCAGTTCCGGTGGACTCTCTTTTTCCGAGATTGGTTTCCGAGGTCGCTTTGGTGCCTCCGACCTCTGGATCTGGTTCCGTGCTTCCTCTGGATTTCCCCTCTTCTGCTCAACCTCCGGTTTCGGGCTTGTGGGTTTCTAAAATTAAATCTCCCTTCAGGAATTTATCAAAGGTGGCTTCTCCTTCCTTCTCCGAGGACGGAGTCCCCTCTGTTTCAGCTCCTCCATCGATAGTTCTCGGATCTTCTCAAATTTGGAAGGACCATCTGGTTGCTTTCTTTCATGGTTCCCCTCCTTCTCCGGCAAAAATTTTCTCCGACCTGAACCCAATTTGGGGGAAGCAAGGACGAATCTCAATCAAGTCGCACTCTTCTAGGGTTTTTCTCATCTATATTCCTTGTGTTGTGACAAGACAATAGGCTCTTGATATTGGTTTTTGGAACTCTGGGAACTGCTCCTTCACCTTGACGGAATGGTCACCTCTTCTTAACCTGGCCCCAATGAAATTGGATTATGCTCCTGTTTGGGTTCTTTTCAGAAATGTGCCTCCAGAGTTGTGGTCATTCGTGGGTTTCAGCACCATTGCCTCTGGAGTTGGTTTTCCTGAGCATTCAGAATTCCCCAAGATTGCCCCTTATTCGAATGGGTTGTTAAACTTAAAGTGGTTGTTGAACTAGCTAAGTCTTGCCCAGCCTCGGTTCGTATTTTGGATAAGTTTCATAACTCTGTTCAGGTATCGGTGGAATTTCTTAAGCTTCCTCCACTTTTGCCATCCTGCGGAGAATTTGGTCATTTCGCCCTGCGATGCCCTGTGTTAAAGCGTGCTTCTATGGAACTTTCTCCTCCCCTAGTTGGAGGAGGTGGTGGTGAGCAAGCTTCAAGTTCATCTAATGCTCTACCTCCTTTGCATATTCATGTCGGCTCCCTTGCCCCCTGCCCTCCGGTGATGGGTGTGAAGAGATCTCAGAGTTTGCTTTCCTCCCCTGTTGTTTCTGCTCTTCCGGCTGGTTTTAATGAAGCTCATGGGCTTCCTGGTGTGGTCAACGATATCGCCTCCTCAAGCGAGTGGACATCGGTTGTTAGGAGGTCCAAAGTCCGCTCTCCTCCCTCAAAGCCTGCTTCCGTTCAGTCAGTTCGGCCTGTCACTACTTCTCAATTTGAAGCAGAGGAGGTTCTTATAAAAAATGCTCAGGCTATTCTTCCCCAAAGGTTAGCAAATCTCGATTCTGGTTCTCGTCCTCCGATCTCTACGTCTGCAAGGAAGAGAGCCCGGAAAAACCTCAGACAGCATATGTTTCTTCTATCCTCGTCCTCTTCGGACTCCATCCCTTTGCCGGGTCCTGCATTCGCGTCGACCATGGTTCAGAGTTCCTCCTTTTGTGGACAGTCGCTTTCGCGTCCTGCTCAGTTTTTAAAAGCTTAGGTGCGCTGCACCCCCCTTTTGACTTCATAATGAATTGTTTTTGTTGGGATATAAGAGGCCTTAATGGCGATGCAAGACAGCTTTTTGTTAAACGGTGGATCAGCACCAACCGTCCTATGATAGGCGGCCTTTTGGAAACGCATGTGAAGCAGCCTTCTTTACAAGACTTAATGATCCAGTCTTTCCCGTGCTGGAGGTATGAAGCAAATTATTCGCTGGATGCAGATAATGGGAGAATCCTGGTTATTTGGAATCCTTCTCTTTCGGTTATCATCTATCATCAAACTCCCCAAATTGTGTTGTGTGGCGTTTTCAATCCCTCGACGAGTCAGTCTTTCACTGTGGCTTTTGTTTACGCGAGGAATAGGAGATTAGAGAGGATCCCTTTGTGGAACTCTCTCAATGACATATCCTCTTCCAGTTTGGTTCGTGATTCTCCTTTACTGGTTATGGGAGACTTTAATCAAGTTCTCTCGCTGTCTGAGATATACTCGATCCTTCCGTGTTCTATATCCTTGGATGGAATGATTGATTTTCAGGATTGTTTGACTGAGTGTGGGCTTTTTGATTTGTCCTTTCGTGGATGCCATTTTACCTGGACTAACAAAAGTTCGACACTACCCAAAGCGCGTAAGCTAGATAGGGCTTTGATCAATAAGGCTTGGCAGGACCTTTTTCCGGCTTCTAACGCCTATTTCGACGCTCCAGGGGACTCAGATCATTCTCCATGTTTGGTGTCTTTGTCTAACAAAGTTACCGGAAGGAAGTCAAAATTTATATTCTTTCTCTTTTTCACTACTCATCCGGATTATAACAGTATAATTCAGGCAGCGTGGCAAAGTCCTATATCTCCTTCAGGGCCTATGTTCTCTCTCTATCAGAGGTTGAGGGCTGTTAAAGCTTCTTGTAAGGATCTTAATCGCAGATGCTTTAGCAACATCCAAGTCAGAACTAAGGAAGCTCTTAAGAAGCTGGAATCTATCCAACGTCATCTTCTAACTTCACCGTCTCAGAGTCTTTTCGAGGAAGAGGTTGTGCTAAGGAACTCGTGGTCCTTCCTAGCGTCTGCTGAAGAGTCCTTCTTTCGTCAAAAATCTCGAATCAGATGGCTATCTGCTGGTGACTCTAATACGTCGGTTTTCCACAAATCCGTTAAGGCAAATTTATCCAGGAATATTATCCATTTCCTACGGGATGATACTGGTGTCAAGATCTCAAGTCCTATGGGTTTGAAGAATCTTGTTATCCAGTATTTCTCCTCTTTACTTGGTACTGCAAATTCGAATGTTGAACCACTCTCGGTTTCGGGTATTCAGAGTCTGCATCCTTTTCGTTGTGATCCTTCTCAGGCTGCTATTATATCGAGTATTCCTTCTCCCCAGGAGATTAAGGAAACGGTTTTTGCGCTCCCAAAGAACAAAGCACCTGGGCCTGATGGGTTTTCATCTGAGTTCTTTACCCACTCTTGGGGTCAGGTAGGAGATGATTTGGTTGCGGCTGTGCAGGATTTTTTCATCAGCTCTTCGATGCTGAGGCAGGTTAACACCACGGTTATTGCTCTTATACCAAAAATGATTGGTGCCGCTAGCCAATCTCCTTGTGCAACACTGTCTACAAGGTTATCTCGCGGATATTATCTTCTCGGCTGAAATCCATTACTCCGGATGCTGTTCAACGAAATCAAGTCGGCTTTGTTAAAGGTCGGTTAATGTGTGAGAATGTTCTCCTGGCTGCAGAGCTGGTTAGTGATTTCCATCTCCCAGGTTTTATCACTCGAGGTTGTCTTCAAATCAATATCACAAAGGCGTATGACAATGTGGATTGGTCCTTCTTTTTAAATATTCTAAAAGCTTTTGGATTATCCGAGGTGTTTATTGGATGGACCAGACTTTGTATCTCTTCCCCGCATTATTCTATTGCCCTGAACGGCGAGCTAGTTGGTTTTATCCAGGGGAAGAAGGGTTTAAGGCAGGGAGATCCCATCACCTCTTCTCTTTTTGTGCTTGTCATGGACGTGCTTTCGAAGCTTTTGGACAAAGCTGTTCGGGACCTCATCGTCAAGCCTCATCCGAGTTGTCTGGATCCTCTTATTACTCACCTGAGTTTCGCGGACGACGTTCTGATATTTTTTGATGGTACATCTGATTCCCTGGGTGGAATACTATCAGTTCTATCATCTTTTGAGTGAGTCTCTGGTTTGTCACTTAGTTTGAGGAAGTCGTGTCTTTTCATCGATGGAAACAATCTTCCCTACTCTCGGGAATTAGCTGGCCGTTTTGGCCTTCAGTTGGGTAGCCTTCCGGTTCGCTATTTCGGTTTGCCTCTGATGCCTCATAAGCTGAGACCCCAGGACTTTCAGCCCTTGATCGATAAGGTTAAAGCCCGTATTTCTTCCTGGACTGTCAAGCGGTTATCTTTTGCTGGAAGACTTCAATTAATTCAGTCTGTGCTTTTTAGTATCATAAACTTCTGGTCCTCGGTGTTTCCTCTCCCCAAGGGATGTTTACATACGCTAGAACGTATCTGTAGTGCTTTTCTATGGAGTGGGTCTACATATTCCGCGAGAGGAGCAAAGGTATCATGGGCTTCGGTGTGCACTCCTAAGGATGCG